GCAAGACGAGACAACAGGAAATTGACCTTGGCCGTCGGAGCGTCAATTAATCTTGACGCTATTGCAATATCCACCTCGCGAAACCAGCGATTGAGGGGGAGACGATCCGGACCATCACCGGAGTACGTTGACGTCTCCATCTTGATAGCGTCATGGTGCAAAGTGCGCGAGGGACTCAATACTCGCCGATTCGCTTCGGCGAGCTCGCGCACCATAAAGTCTTGGATGGCGGCACGTTGATCATCAGGCGTCGCTGTGCTCAGCAGTGACGTCACAATAGTTTCACCAGACACCGCCGCGAGGCGATGTAGTGCCTGCCACTCTACCGAGGTGAGATGTGGAAAATCAGAATGCTCCAGCGAGACCGCTGGAGCCACCGAAGACTCGCCCATGTTCATCTCGAATCTGGTCATTGGAAGGACTACAAAGTGCTACCAGGTGTAACGGGCTAAGGACCCGTTACCGTCTTACACTAAAAGGGCGTTGAGGAAATAACTCGTAAATATAACTCTGTTTTATTTTTGTTTTAGTCTTAATTCGCAGTAAGTGCGAATATGTTCCCTAGCTCATGGGAACCACTCAATATGGAAGTCAATTTATTATTGGCTAATTACTGGGTCTGGCACCCCAATAATAAACCAATAATAAGATGACGCGCAGTATCCGCTAATCGGATACTGCCCTATGCCTACTTATGTAATTATGTATTAATCCTATAACTACTTATGTAATAGGTAGACCCATTACAGATACGGTATTACCGAATACCGTATCTTAACGCTCATACTTAATACCTTTCTAAAGAGAAGTATAATAATGCATTATATGCAATACAAAGGGGAGTTGAACCGTTAACTCTCGGAAAGACGCTACAACCGTCGTGTAACCCCATTACAAGCCACGAGTGGATATGCTTCACTCGGGCTCAGAGTTTCTTGGGCTCAATCGACTGGGTCGAGAGCAGTGCACCTGGTACTATGTACCCCTTCGGTGGCTAACGGTTTCTTGGTCTTTCGACCCCTTTTCTTGTTCCCCGTAGGGAAACCGCTTCCTATAGCGGGTCTTGAATGGGTACGAACTCACAGGCCAAAATACTTCCTGGAGTTCGTTCGAGCTTGAATATTACCACACGAATGTCTTCAACGGGGGGGGGGCAAAATAAATCCCTTCCCCGGAACAGGTGGGTAGATCGAAACAAGCTCGCACTTGAGTCTTGACACCTCAGGCCAACTATCCTGAGGTTCTAATTGCGTTGCTTGAGCCGTCATCTCACCTGACCTCGGTGGGCCAAAGGGCATCCCGCCCGGAATAGGTGAGGTGACGGAGAAGCTTGAAGGAAGCGCTTGGAGCTGCCACGTGTAATGCAAATTCGAGTGTGTTTATTTACCTTATACTTTGTATGCTTTTTCTTGCCTAACCCTAACCCTTTGATCTGGATAGTGCCACGTGTCGACTCTTGGAGGAAGAACTGGCTCCTTGGTACCTGTACTTTCTGTAATCTTCGATATTCCGTGTACCGATTCTGCACCCTCGGGCATTGGGCCCCGGTATCCTGGTATCCTGGTACCCCGGTACCCTGTACCCTGGTCCCTGATACCCTGGGCTCTTGTAACCTGTGCTCTTAGACCTTGGGGCCTGTACCTACTCTGCACGTTGAAATACATTGTACCTTCTTTGAACTTAGGACCCTGGACCACCTCAGGGCACTGACCCTTTCGGGTCCTGGTGTGCGCACGGTAGGGTAACCTTGTACCTTTGAACCTGGACGTTCGTACCCCTGTCCCCGGTAACTGGTACCCCTGTCCCCGATCACTAGTATCCCTGTCCCCGGTAACTGGTACCCCTGTCCCTGGTGACTAGTAACCCGGTCCCTGGTGACTGGAAAATCTGTCCCTGGTGACCCTCGATTGAACCTTGGGACCTTGCGAGTCTTGGGCCCTTGTACCCTGGAGCCCCTGTACCCTGGTACCCTGGGGCCCTATTCTCCTGGCACTTTACCACATGCTCAACAGAACTTGTTTCATTATCATTAGGGCGCTCCAAGCCTACTGGAAGTCAACGTTTTTCCCCGCGACGCCCTTCTTGCGGCTCGAAACGAGGTTTTTAGCTCTGCCAATTCTGACGTTGCTTTCGCAACGGAAATCTTAGGTGGATGTTCCTTGTCTTCCGCACATGTAACATTTGCGGATCTTACGTTGCTGCTCTGTAGCTTGAAGCTCAGTTTCCTCATCTTCAGCATCGCTAATTTACATGGGCTCGGCCTTATCAATGGCATTCGAGTTATACTCTTGGGTACCATAGTGAGCCGCTTTGTAATTGAACTTGGTGCTCAATGCTATGCATTGCTTCCTCAAAAATTCGAAGGGTGAACTCGGAAGACTTCCGTCCTTGCGACCCCTGTGCGGCGACCTTCCGTAGAAATGGCAACTTGGACGTCTTCTGAAAGAGGGTCCAGCAGCATCGTAGCAAGCAGAGTTCTCAACTCTTGGAAATAGTCCGATAAATCGTTTTTTGCTCTTGTCGGGAACTAAGAAGTGGAGGGCACGCGATATGCCTGATTAGGCGGTGCAAACACACGAGACATCTGTCCTTTAATAAAATCCTATGCTGGGAACGTAGCGTCTTAAAACGCATCGCACATTAGTGCCCATTCTCTAACTCTGCCACCGAGCTTGAAGATGGCCATGCTAACTCGTTGATGCTCTGATTTGATTAAAGCAGCGATCATCGCCATTTCAACCTCTCCGATTCAGAGGAGGAGGTTTTCCCCTTCTTTCCCCTCGAAGGGTTTTACGCTCAGGACAAGCAGGCGAGCCTTTGGCTATCGAAATCTAGCGCGTTGGCATAGCCGACGCTACATGGCCATGAGGCTGTCCCATTAACGTTGTTTCATAATGCATGAAGGACTTAAGGCGTACATTAGGTTTTTCAGAGCCTTGGGCCATAATATTATCAACTTGATCAATTCCGATTTTTTAGCACTGACTTTTTTATCAGGCGCAAGGCGTTGTGCCTCAAAGAGGTAATAACGACTCTCCATCCTCACAGAGGGCCATTTTTAAAGACTCAGGTGTAGGGCTGACCATCAAGTGCTACAAAGTGTAGCATAGCTACGGTGTATCAGGGTTACACAACGGTTGGATAGTATATCCAAAATTATGTCATGGTTGTAATTCTATGGATATTGCATAAACGTATTTTTGGTACTTCCCTACAAGAAGGTATGAGGTATGAGCGTTACGATACGGTATTCGGTAATACCGTCTCATGTCGGTTAGGATTCGATGATCGATATCGCTGTACTAAGTACATCATACACAGATGTTTGGACGACACGTTGTGCAATTAAGAAGTCTGCATGTTATTGTTACTGTTATAGTAATTAATCTAGTGTAGGGTACTTAGGGTAGGTTAAATTTGATATCTTAATGCATAAATATGTAACAGCTCTCATTTTGAGTTATAGAAGCAAAGTCTATAAGACTTGTTTTCTCGTGCACCTCGTGCGTTTGGGTCTTTGAACCGTAAGCTTGCTAAGCTAGTGAGCGTAAGCTCGTAGACTAAAGAAGTTATTCCCTGTAATGTAGAACGGGTAGACTTCGTAGTCGTTCGATTAGTTCCATAGAACTAAGTAGTTTTTAGCCGTAAATTCATTTAGTTCTTTAAAACTAAAAAGCTTTTAGCCGTTTATTTATGTAGTCCTAATTGGCTAATTTTAGGGTAAGGCTTATAGGCCACTTGGTTTTAAAGAACTCTTTAATTGTCTTGAAAGCCACTAAGTTTTAAAGTACTTAATCAACGACTATGAAGTCTTTCCAATATAAAAGGTTGGATGGCTTTTCTAGTCAACAAGCAAGAAGCTGAATAGTTTTGAGAACCAACGCACAGAGAGCAAGGGTTAAGCTAGAAGCTTAAAGGGTTCGAGAAACCAACGCACGAATTGCACAAGAGAAGCAAACCAATACAGGCTAATCTTTATAACTCAATATGAGAATTTATATATATATGCATTGAGATTTCAAGAAAAATTCACTCTAAGCACCCTACATTTGATTAATCACTATAATAATAACCATAATAGTAATTATAATATGCAGGGTTCTTTATTGGATGATGTGTCATCCAAACATTCGTGTATGATGTACTTAGAATAGCGATCAGGCCATAACCGATATGACACGGTATTACCGATATGGTACGATATTACCGATATGTACGGTATTACCATATGGTACGGTATTACCGATATGGTACGGTATTACCGATATGGTACGGTATTACCGATATGGTACGGTATTACCGATACCGTATCTCAACACCCACACTTACTGCCTCTTAAGGAAAGCACAGAAAATACAATGTATATAAATCCGTATGGTTTACAACTGTGACGTAATGTTGGATGTATTTGTCCAACCATCGTGTAACCCCATTACACCCAGACCCAGCTCATTTCCCGCACATTTGTTCTCGAACACGTCGCAGAGAAGAAACGGAGCAAATATACGTCAAGCATTAGGCCTTGTAGAACGTCAAAGTCGAAAGTTTTGTAGTTTAAAGACGACATCCTACCGGAACTGTGACTCAGTCGCAAAACCTCCACCTCGTCAAGAACCGGTTCCCGATTTCGACCTCGCACGGAGTCTCACGTAAGAGTTTTATAAGACAATAAAGAGGTATAGTGGTGCACTTTCTTTTTAGGGATTGAGACGACTGCATCAGTTGTAGCCATATGGCTGCCCGACACTACAAACAATTGTGAGTAAAGTACTTGGAAAGGTTCAATTGAGGCATTCTTAAATATGTTTGTACCAAAAAACCGGTTTTTATCGATCTAATTCATTGCGAATTGCATACCCTCAATCTCAAAGTTGCCGCTTCAAGGTCTGTAACCAATAAAAAACCTCGATATATCATTCTCAACGCACAATAAAATATCATTTCTACTCACAATAATTGCGTTTCAAAGTCGCATTTAATTTTTCCAATTCGATATTGTCATGGTCGGTGCCTTAACCTATTTGTGGCACGGCAGTGTCGCGCTGCTAACGTGGACTATGAAGCTCGTATCCACATTCAATCGCAATCGCAATACTAGTTTACCCAGTGTCATCTCCTCCTCATCTGCTTTATCCCGTCAGAATGTATGGAACTTTCTCGCTTCAGGTCCACGTCGTGCTCGACATCAATCATATGTAGCGCTTGAGTTGCTGGAAAAATTTCGTCAGGGTCCTGCAACTCAAAGCGAGTGGAATTTGTTATTATGGCGTGCAACTTTTCCTCTTGTGTCATTGGTGTTGCTTACATTATTTTGTATTGTGGGTCAATTTGGTCATGCTGCTTACTCGATTATTGTGACTCCGGTCTGGTATTTGTGCAACTTTGTGCTGGTAACTGTTCCATTTCTATTGGTATTTCGATTCTCACTATTAGATGAAGAAGAAGAAGGTCAGACTAAGATCTGGTATGGACTTGCACTTGTTAGTGTTGCGATCAGCTTCGTGGAATGGTACATGAGTTTACCAACGAGTCGATATTCGTGGATTGTGGGCAATACATTGTTTGGTATTGTCGCACTTGGAGCTGTGCCACTTTTCTTTAGTATACAACCAAGGACTGCACGTTCGCAGTATGAGAATCTCGTGATGGAACAAGAACAGGATCAAAGAACGCACAGAGTTTTGGAAGAAGAGGAGACATTCAACGCCATGCAAGAGGTAGAAAGTTCGTTGGATTCATCTATGGATGAATATTCAAGGTTAAAGACGACCACTCTTGTGAGACAGCGACCGGGAGGGGGAAGGAGTGAAAATGAGACTCTTCGACCGTCAATGAGCGAACAAGCACAACGACAGGGACAGCCAGTGACCAGATTGATCTGTGGCTGTGGCTTCTGCGCGCTAGTGCTATGGCTCATCATGTTCTTGTCGTACAGCTCGGCACGTGGAGGAGAAGCTTCGACGCGATCGTGGTTCCTGCTATACTTGCTGTCACCTATTTTGTGCATTGTGCTTTTCTGCTCCCGTGTCGGGAAAGTTCGCTTCAGCCTCGAACACGCGGTGGCATACAGCGCGCTGGTGGTGCATGTCCCGCTGTTTCTCGGACACCTATGCGTGCGGCTGTTTGCGCTTGCTGAAGACCTCTCAGCGGCGTCGACGACTAGAAGTGAGTCGTGGCTCAAGCTGGCGATTTCTGTGCTCTATCTGCTGCTAATGCAAGGCTACTTCTTCGTGATCACTCATATGGTAAACAGCATGTCGGAACCTTTTGAGCACCCATCGCTGCTGTACGTGGGGCAGCTCTACTACTATGTTTTCTGGTACATCCTTGTGGGTTCGGACACACCCATCGACGCGCTGTACTGGGGCATGTTGTTCCTCAACAATATCCATATTGCTTTTCTCAATACGGGTGTCTACACGGATTTCAAGCGCACATCTTCAGTCTGGTTGGCCATACCTTTGCATGTCACGTCTTCCGTTGCATTTTGCCTATACTCAAAGACCTCAGCAATGGATATTTCAAAGTGTTTGCCGCACAATATGTCATCTAGAACACACGGAATACTGGGTCTGAATTGCGGCGTAGCTGGAGCAGCAGCAATGGAGACGAACGTTGATCTACTTCATATCAGCAGTGATCACGATTGCGAATATGACAGTGGTTACGGCTCAGACGGCTTTATCGTGCCACAAAACATTGACGACAAAGAAAGTGATATTGGCGAGTTGCCTTCCTGGCAAGAAACTGGTAGCAGAAATCGTGAACGAGACCGAAATGTAAACGGTAGTTGGGCTTTAGACCGTGACATTCCATTGCCGGCTCGAAAGGCAAGCATATTTAAGACGCCGATTTTTTGCGTCGAATGCTTGCGTACACAGATGAACTGCAGTAAATGTATCAGCCGAACAAGCGTGTCCTCTCGGTTTGGTAATGATGATAAGGCTCATGCAACCATAGCAACAAGTCCTCCCTTGAGGGCAGCTACCAGTGACGCTCTGAGACCACTTTATTTTCTCATGAAGCTTGCAGAACAAGACAATATGGCCGATACCACAGCGCTAATACTGGTGCCTTCACTTCTGACGCTACTGGCAGTGTTTGAGAAGCCAGATAATGCTCTCTCCGTGCTGCAAGACCAGGCGAATTTGTGGCTGCGCTGTGTGTGCATGTTTATTGGCCGACTTGGTGGTGCGTTCCTCGCACGTGAAATCTTCACCTGTAAATTGCGGTCGCGGTTGCGCTCGTCACCCGAAGACTTGGGCAAGACTGCACAGCCTGATGCTATCAGCGGCTCCATCGATGGCATGCCTGCGCGACTCTGGATACAGCGTCTTATGCTGCAGGACTTCCACGCCCAATTTTGGTATCTGACCGCCGTGACTATGGTGGTCACCTTCGGTTGCTTTGCCCGCATTGACCTGCCATTGCGCTTTGCACTACTTGCATGATGCCGCAAAGCTAAATTCCAATAGTATTGATTGGCCTTGATGAGAGCTGAACTACCATGAAAGTTATCCAGCAAATTGACGCGATAGGTAGTCCCCAAAAGAATTCTCAAACAGTTGTGGCTCATTAGAAGCTTTCACGCCACGACGAGGTATCGGGATGATGATGTCCGTTGGGTCGAAAAAGCACTACCAGAAGCACGTCCAAGGAAAAGCAGCAGCGACATGAAGGTTGCGAGACAGAACACGTGTAATACAAAAATGTGCGGGAAAGCGCCGCGTCAGCCACGGACGAAGGAAACGACAGTGTGATGGTACAACCTACAATGGGCCAGACACGATTGAGGCGACGGAATCGTATGCTTTGATAGCGTCCCACGCGACCATATTCGAAGAAAAATGGATGGATGGCCTGCTCCGGGTGCAAATACGCGATGCTTTCGCGCTCCAAAACTGTCTCGCTCGTCCTAAGCGAAGGTGTGTGTAGATGTGTTAACCTCGGTGTCACTTTGCCTCAGCAGTGTGGCATCCTTGATCCTCGATAGCTCCGAGCACGATATCAGTCGATAGTGTCAGCATCAACACAATCCATAGCATAAACTCCTGACTAGCTTTCATCGGTGGCGACCTCGTTGACTTTTAGTTTTTCTGCAGCATTGCGGCTACTTTTTTGTCTTCGTCGATATTTGACAGCTGCTTCGATAACAAAGCGGTCACCACAGTCGCTCGGAGTTACACACATACAGTCACGTTACTACGACACTAGACTTGTTTCCAAGACGGCCGACGGACACCAAACCACCTCCACAACTTCAAACAAAAAATCACAGAGCCAATGACAAAAGGTGCCCATAAAAAACCATGAGGGCTTTTCTTCCAGGCACGAACGCGAACCGGTGCAAAGCTTACTTTACTCTGTGCTACAAACAAAGTCAAATAATCAGACATCCTCGAGCTTGTTCTGCATCTTGATCTGCATGGCCTTCTTCCTCCATCATCATGGTTTGACCACGCCGGCAGCTTAATGAGTTTATCGTCATTAAAGCGCGGGATCACATGGATGTGTGCGTGGAATACAGCCTGGTCTGACATTATCCAGAACAATGGATAATGTGAATGCGATCACAGTCCGTGGCTTCCTCTACCGCCTTGGCAAAATGTGAAAGCTCCTTGAACATATTGCCCAGCCATTTCTGTCGTCACCTTTTGGAAGAAATGATAATTGTTTTACATTTTATTTTGTCAAAATTAATTGTGAATCAATTACCATTTCTTATATTTCTAGTATTATATACAATAATTTTGTCAAAATTAACTGTAAATATTACTAGAAATATATGTTGAGATTGTCCAAGAAAGTAGCGAAGCCAACAGCCATGAAAACGGTAGCGTACGATCGGAAAAGCGTCAAGGATAGCGACGACATGTGCCGTCTCGAAAAGCTTGTAAAATGGAATGTCGACCTTTAATGATCTTCCCGAAAATGCTGTCGAAATCGTACGCGATGGCAGCCGTATGCGAATATTAAAGAAAGACGAAATATGAAAATGTACTTAGTATCGAAATACCGGTACAATGCGGATCCCTGTTATAGCTAATCTATATCAAGGGACGCTACACGCATTTCTATTGACTTTAGAAATGCTCCACGTCAGATTGGTATATACTTGATAATAAGCACATCTTACAGCCCCATAATGAATCGTGTACTTGAGACCATTTTCCCGGACTATTTCTCCTGCCAGATCACCAGTAGCAATTATTATTCTTATCCAGAGGTGCGTCATTCCTCCATTGTCAATCCTTTCGGTAATATATACTAATGCTCATCCTCCACGTGTCATACAGAACTCCCTCAAGTCAAATTTGATCTTTTGCGTTGTATACAAAGGCCAGGAACTTATCAAAGACGGACGTGTGATCCTTTTTTTTGCTCCTGGACCGGACCCTGAGCCACGCTTTGAAAGTTTTGACCTGAATTCTCCACGGCCGCTGTTTGCCAAGGACGTTGTATGTTAAATTGAGACTAGAATTTGGGGCTGACATTTGAGTTTCGTTGGCACTTATGCTACTATTTATGGAACTGCGTCCATGTGTTTATAGAAAAATGTGGAGCCTGGAGATCTGATTGAGTTTGAAAGCACGACATTTTCAACGCCGGATGCTTTGGGATTCGTGCCTCAGAATTTGGACGTATTTTCCAATAAATTGTTCGTCCAAGCATTGATTCATCATGGTACGGCTCGACGATTGTGTGCTGTTATTCTCTTTTTTCTATGTCTGTTGTGTTATTTTGTGTTGCTTACTTGTGGTTGGTACAGATGTGAACGATCCGGACGCCAACTCGCGAGTGGGGAATACGTACAGCAAACCGGTCGAAGTGCGGTTTGATGGTGATGAAGCTGACAATGTCGTCAAGATTGTCGTGGACCAGGTTGTCAGTGAGACAATGGATTTGACGCCGACCGAGTGGATTGAGCATATCACAATGAAAAGTCAACTTTTGAGTGAGTACCACAATCAGGACGTGTACATGATGGCTTCCATTGTGCTGCCAAAGGATTACAAGGCTTTGAAGAAGTCGTCTCGGTTTCCCGCAGTATACTACATTGAAGGATTTACTGGTACGGAGTCGTATGCAAAGCGTGCAAAGGGATTTCTGTCGTCTGAGATGGGACAGGATTGGCAGGCTGGACATTGGCCGGTTCCCATGCTTCGCGTTACCCTGGGGTCGCGCTTTAGGTTTGGCCACACTTCGTTCGCTGATACCGAAGCCAATGGTCCATGGGGTACAGCATTAGTGACAGAATTCATCCCGTACCTAGAAAGCCTATATGCCGTCGTTCCTTCTGCGTCGGGTCGTTTTCTACACGGCCACTCGTCGGGTGCTTGGGCGACACTGTGGCTGCAGCTACAGTTTCCCGACTTTTTTGGTGGCACGTGGAGTTCGGCTCCTGATCCTGTCGACTTTTCGCGATTCCAAGTGGTGAATATCTACGAAGCAGAGAATGCGTATTGGGATGCTAATGGCAATCCGTACCCGACCAGCCGCAACAATGGACTCACTACGTGCAACAACCGTGACGAGAATTTACTGGAGCGAGTATACGGTCGCGGCAATGGCGGGCAGTGGGATGCTTTCGTAAGTTAAGTGCGCTGGAATGCACTGTGGTTTGGTTCTTGTGCTGACTATTTTGATGTAGTTTGCCATCTTTGGTCCACGAGGTGCTGATGGAATGCCAATCCCTCTTTTCGACAAGTTGTCGGGTGACATAAATCGTGATGTTGCGAAATATTGGGAGCGGTTCGACATTTGCAAGTATCTTCAAAAGAGACCAGAGTTACTGCTGACGGAATTACGCGGAAAAATTCACGTCATTTGTGGTGTCGAGGACACGTACTACCTCAACTTTGCGTGTCGATCATTGCAAAAGCTGGTTGGGGATAGTACAAGCAATTTACAGGATGGATCTATTGTGCCAAACTATGTGGCAATGGTACCTGGAGACCACACCAGTATCCGCTCTCGAGCACATTACATTCAAGTGTACTCTGAGATTGCTGCTGTATACAAACACAATACGAAAAGCGTAAAGTAAAAAGCTGCTGCCATAAAAGCGCGGTCATGAAGGAAGAGTCGTTTGTGAATAAATTCTCTGCTTGAGCGAAGTAATAAAAAAACGGGCGCTATATCGGAATCTACCGATTATTTCATCACACTATATAAAATTACTAAAACGCGAAATCGTAGTGTTAAAACGTCATAAAAGCAAATATAAGCAATTATTGGTCTCAAGTCGCTGCAATAATGGACCCAAACGTGCAGATAAGCGACACACGTGACGTGCCTCTGGAGGAGCGTCTGCGTCAAAAAAAGCAGGGATTTGTCACGAAAATACAGAGAGAGAAGGACGTAGCTACAGAGGGTAGTAAGGCGCACAGAGCTAACAAGAATCAGCCATTGGAACTTTCGTCCAAGCGGGCGGTCGGACGGTTTCGACAAGTGGTCGAAGTAAAAAAAAAACGTTTGCTGGATCCACGCTTTGAGGCTCAAAGTGGACGTCTGAATGAAGATTTGTTTAACAAAAGCTACGCGTTCTTGGACGAATACAAGCAGCGTGAGTTGCAGCAGCTTAAGCAACAGCTCAAGAAGACCAAGAGTGTAGCCAAGAAGGATGAGCTCAAAGTCAGTACATTTGTGGCAAAAAAAGCTGGCTTGATCGTACGAGGGTACTGATATAAGGGCATTGATATATTATTTGTATAGCATGAGATTGCATTGAGGCAGCAGGAGATGACAGAGAAGCAAAAGAGAGACAAGATTCAAAGTGCATTGACCAAAAGGAAGCGGGAGGAGCGCGAGGCTGTGGCAAGCGGCAAGGGTGCATTTTACCTCAAGGTTTGCTGTGGTTGGTTTGGATACACTGACAAAGATGCAGAGGAGCTGACTCGTGTGTTTTGTGATTGCTGGTGACCTGTTGCAGCGGAAGGACAAGAAAAAAGTGGAGTTGCAGGCCAAGTTCCAGGATTTGCAGGAAACTGGAAGATTGTCCAAGTTCATGGCCAAGAAGCGCAAGAAAAATGCCAGCAAGGATCACAGATGGTTGCCCACGCAGCGGAAATAGCCATGTGCGTACTGACTATTGCAAAACCGCCCCAGCGATTGAGCGTGACGTCAGTGTGCTGTGTTTTGGGCCGTTACTGCTTTTGCATTTGTTGCAGTACCATTTTACTAATAGACTGCTTTTGCATTTCACTCCTTCGAGCGCATCCTTGGGAGATGCGTTTTTGACAAGTACAGTCAAAGCAAACTTTGGTGAAGTGTATTGGTGTCGGGGTTTGGAAAGGCTGATAGCACTTGGAAGTGCTGCAATGACGAGTGGCTACAAAGAATTACATGTTCTAGGAGCTACGAGCCTTTAGGCTGTCAAGTGGACATATGGGAGTGAAATAAGTGTTAAAGAAACCTAGCTAGTTTATCACTGGCACCACGCATTCCACATTTGCGCGGTCTTTGTAATGACAGCCCAGTGGATCAATTCTAATTGCGTTCTACAACAAGTTGCTTGAGCTGTTCCCAGTCTGTAATCATAAAGATCACAGGTCTGCTATTTCCACCGTCTGAAGTCGTGGCAATACAGTCAGCAAGGGACTTGTACGTACTCAATGGTCGAACATCAACGCCATAAATCTTCAAAAGCTGACGTAACAGTCGCGACGACGATAAACTGCTATCAGATACGAAACAGATTCCCACATCAGCTTTCAGCAGAGCAAGCAGATCATTGGCACTGTCACCAACGTAAATGATGATTGATTGCATCTCAGTGTACGATGATCGAACTTTGTCAATCCACTGTGCTTTATCCAGAGGAGATTGCACTTTTACGTCAATTTCTCCAGTTGTCACTCCTTGTGGATCCAGCTTTAAGTCTAATTCAGTAACATACAGTCAAGAAGTTATGTACCCTCATGCAACTTTATGAGACCTTTGCTACGAACCATTGACGATAATTTGCGTCGTTTTAACAACTGGCATTATACCAGATTGCATCAACACGGAAGTTACTAGAGCCATGCTCCAATTCGCAGAGATTATCTTCCACTCGTCCACAGCTGCGAATGTATCGACACAATTCGGTTGAATTTGTACAGTTCTTGCAGCCTTGACAAGATCTTGATAATGAATTCCCTGTAATGCTCGACACTTGGTTACTCGCTCTAAAGAACGAAGATCTATCGTAGCGTACCCTTCCAGGAATTCGTGTAACCCCGTCCTGTCAAAGCTTTTATTTCCAGTCGTAGAGGCACACATCCACTTGGCTTTATAGTTATCAAGATAGTCGTTCATTTCATTCACATACTGCGCTACTAGTTGCAGTTGTTTTGATGCAGAGCAGGACGCCAGCTGGAACAGCAGCGTGATCGTGTCTTGCAGAGTGATGGTCTCATCAAAATCGGCGCACAGCAGAATAGTTGGTGTCATGGAGTGAATGATTGTCACTTGGGGTTACACGACACTGTAATCCAAATTGTAACCCCATTATTTCATACCAAGCGAAAACGACGAGTAAAATGGCGTCCAAGAACGAGACTCTAGGGCAGACAAAGCAACGGCATAAACTGGAATTGCGTGTACGTATTGTGTTACTCTATCTTTTATCTTTCCATTCGTGCAATTTCTACCTCATTTTGAGCTCTGTAGACTGAGCCACACATTTAAACTGTCGCCTCCTTTAGACACTGCAAGCTGATGTCAAGACGTTCCAGAAGAAGGCCAAGAAAGACCGTATAAGCAAGAAAGAGGTCGAGAATCAGATTGAAGTTATGGAAAAGGCTCTAAAGGATCGTCATGATCAAGAGCTGAAGGTTTTTGAGACAGAGACAGAGCAGGAAGTTATAGAGACCCCTGCAGTTCACTCGGATGACAAGGCTAATGAAGTGGGAGGACTGACTAAACAAAGTAAAGCTCAAGCCAAAGCTCATCGTAAACGAGAAGAAAAGAAACAGCAAGAACGAGAACGTTGTAAACGTATTGAAGAAGCAAACGAGTCGACAGTGAGTGAGCGACAGGTTGAGGTTGATATGATCCTAGCACGGTTGGCTACACACGGACTTAAGCTCAAGGATATTCCGTCTGATGGACACTGTATGTATCATGCTGTGGCAGATCAAGTGAAACAAAAGAACTTGCCTGTTGCTGATGAGATGACAGGATTCCAGTATCTGCGTAAACTCACGAGTGAGTACATGCTCGCACACCCTGATGATTTTTTGCCTTTTATGACGCTTGATGAAAGCACTAGCAGTGCTGATGACGCATTCACAACCTACTGTGATCGAGTGGCTACTACTGCGGACTGGGGTGGACAGCTGGAGCTCCGAGCTTTGGCATGTGCTCTGCAAACACCTATTGAGGTGTTTGCGGCCGAGGGCGATGTACTGGTGATGGGTGAAGAGTTTGGTAATGAAGACGATGCAAGCGCACCAAAGCTGCAGTTGACGTACCACCTACACTATTACACCCTCGGCGAACATTTCAATTCCGTTACACCGCTCTAGACATGTAGAAGCTGGTACAGGAATGAGCTAATTCGTTGGTGTTGGTATAAACAATTTTGAAGCTGAGCCTGCGCACACGGCATCGGTACAAAACTTACAACAGATAGAAGGGTAGATGATGGAATTGGTGGGAGGGGTGACTGACTCATCGTCAAGGTCGATAATTGCGTCAACGTAACGAGTGAAGTTCAATTTAAGTGATTCAGCCGCGATCATGTGTACTTCAAAGTACTCTGTCTTGTTGCTTTCTTACTCTCTTCGATCTCGTATTCATACCTCGGAGCTCGTCTTGCAAAGACACTATTAAGAAAAACACATTATTCTTTTCTATGCTACATTGCAGGATCGACACGTCCAGGCTACAACTCCTCCAGAGCAGCACGACAATAGGAGGCTAGCTGGATGTCACGATGTTGCGCGTACAAACGAAGAACGCGCTTGCACCGTTGATCATTTATACTGGAGGCAGCTAGACATTTCTGATCCACCTCTGGCACTAATCCGGCAAAAGCGCCAAGTGCTCGGGCGCATTCCCGAAGCAGTTCAATGGAAAAAAGCGATCTCTCATTAGCGTGCTCAAGTTGCGCAAGCACCACTGGCGTGGCTTCAATCCGAAGCTGCTGCGCTATTCGCCGTGCCAGTGCCAGTTCGCTCTCTGGGAACCGAGGAACGGCACGAGCAATATTCGCTAGAGTGCCGACAGCACAGCGCGACATGCTAAGGTCTGTAGCTTTGGCCGCTTGAATTAGTGGCTCCACGAGATCGGCGCGGGCAACCAGACACGAATTATGCACGTCCTCCGTAAGCTCCGCGAGCCCAGCACATCCTTCACGCATTGCATCCAGGTACCGAGATGTCAGCATAATCTTCATCGCTTCAACACCTGAGCTGGGCGTTGGTTTCTTAAGTGACAACGTTCGCCAAATCTGTGTCCCAAGACCGTCATGGTCGCAAGAGTGTGATGGTGTCAAGGAGGACACATGGTCACGTTGGACTGACCCGAGAGCGCGATTCCCTACAGTTGAGGTAGCAACGTCCCCCGCAACGCGTTTTTGACCGCTACTCTGAGGACAGGGCAACGCTGTAGCATCGATAATGGCGTTAAGTTTCTGGAAAAGAATGCAATACAATCCATCCCATAGCAACACACTTCCGCTGCGGCGCTGGAACTCTACAAGAAGCGCGCGCTGATGTGCGTAAACTCGCACAACAAACTCGACATGACTATAGTGCACGTACTTGAGGCACTTGAACTTGCACTTGAGCGGATGAAAAATAGCTTCTATGCCACACTCGGTAAATAACGCCGCAAGCGTTGACGTTACGTCAGCAGCGGCAGTACCAGCGCCAGTGTTGATGCGCTTGGATTTGCAGTAGAAATGGTAAGGATCCACCGGATACGGTGGCGGAGGCAGCGATGGCGCGATAATATGTTGTAGCACTGATGGCAATCTTTCTTGTGTGTCTTTCTCCTCCTCTTCCACATCCATAAGACTGTCCAAATCTTCCTCTTCATCCTCAGCCTCGTCATCACTGCCTAGTCCAAAATTGTGTCGTCGTGTATTAGGATTTATCACGTACGATGCAAAGCTGCTGGTACTGCTAGTGCTCGCACAACTGTTTCCACTACCAGTTCGAGCTCTTCGTAGTCGTCTCCATTGTTCATATGGTGTACTTGGAGCATCTCCAGTCCCATTGCTTTCATAAGGAGCATCAAGACCATTGGAAGGAAGTGAGAACCCGTCGACACTCGAGTTTGTCGTCCGACTGCTTCGTAATACAGGAATACCCAGTACCACATGCCTGCGACTCAACGTCGTCTTCAAACTATCGGATTCATCTTTCCGGAGCTCCATCTTGGACGACAATTTCAATGTCGATGAATGCATGAAAGAAGAACTAGAAGTTGAGGACGTCACGAGTTGTGGCGGTCCAGTAAACGACCCGTGCGTATTACGGTGCACTTTCTGCTGTTGTGGCTTGACTGATCGCTGATACTGAAGGTGATAATGGTGTTCTAACTGAGCAATTGGCTGTTGCGGGTACTGACGACGTAGTCGTCGGGCAGCAGCGCGACTGTCTGTCGAGTCTGTGCTACTTTTGACCACGTGTGCGGCCTTCTCTTGGTCTGTACTGCGTGAACGTTGCATGGTCGGGACGGGAGTGCGACTAGTGACGAGACTTGGATGAGGATTCTTACGAGAAACCCATGCACCGGCGGACTGGAACGTGGCCATGGGAAAGAAGTCGATGGTAGAATGGAATGCGACTCTACTGGCCTGGAAGGCCGGACTAAAGCGATAAAGACTGAGTTAGGGCGAGGATTTGGTCTGATTTCATTTAATTTTGTATGGGCGTGGACGGTTTTTGCGCCGTTCCTGGAATAGGTCCCGAACGTTCCGACACATTTCATTAAAGTTCTTGGTGACAAGGTGTTTTATGGCGTCGAATTATAGAATTCTTTCATCGATGGCTGATAATTATTTTATGTAACATACATATTCCACAACAGATACATGTGGCACACATGTATATCCATGTGTGACATCATGTGTGTTACATGTCCAATAGTCAATTGCTCAGCTTCCCCAAAGGTCTTCCAAAGTTTGTTCATATATCCCTTTTACTCGCCAGGACCTTGTTACCATGATGACAATTGTGTCGATACTAATTACTCTTTCTTATGCAGGATTGTCTCATGAGCAATCCAAGCCACTAATATAATGGTAGTGAACGATAGTCTTGTCAATTGTGAAATGATCCTACAGTATTGACATATTTCTAGTCGCGATGGTGCAACACGCAACACTTTTTGGTGTCAAATGTATATTCCATCAGGCATTCAGCTGGTCCAGGTCCATATAAATACCCACAATCTTATCTTCTAGTCAGTTTTGTTTCTTGACGCTAGGAGGAGGAGCAGCAATACTACTGACATGTGATAGCGTTTAATACTCGATTGATGCAAGTGAGAGCCACGAGGAGACAGGGGTCCATAAGAAATGAAGCCTGCCATTCCGAATGTACTCTCGATCAGTTTCGATTTTTAACTGCATGTAAAGTGTGTCGGTTCTTGGACGGATACAAAGTGCATCTAAAGTGTAATGGTTGACTACTGACGACTACCACGTGCGCAGGAAGAATTGATGTGTTGAGTTTACCTAATGATAGTTGCATCCGTAAGTGGAGTAAAGATATAGGAATCGTCCTTTACTGTATTCATGGTATTCCTCATGATGCACTCATCATGAGTGTGGATTGCAATCAGTTTTCATTGCGTTTATACGAAAACCCATCGATAAAAGGCCCCATACCTTATTCGTAACGATAGACTCATGAAAGTTCGGTAGTATAGCTGCGTGCTGGTACAATACAGACAAGGAGTGCATTCACTTAGCGTTAGTTCGGAAGAGGCTATCGTCAGCATGCATTTCTTAAACAAGGAAGCGTTGGGGGTTTTTTTTTTTAAAGTGGGGTATATAAAGGGAAAGAAAGGTTGTTTCTTTTTTTTTATTTTTAGGTTTGTTTGAAGTTTTTTTATTCAATCTCCAGGAAGGGGGTATGTTTTTGTTTTTATGGTGTCTTATTAGACAACTAGTATCATCACGTATGAAGAAAGCACTAATCTTTTGGCTTTCATGATTGAGTTCGAGCGTACGCTGAAGCATACGCTCTGTAGAGAATCATCGCATATTCGCTTGATTATATACGACGCTGTAGATGTCAAACTCACATTCACTTCATGTTTGGACAATTGTTAGTGCGATCAAGATGTTGCTTAGAAGAGCTGTAGGAGAAAAAGCAAGGATGGCAAGGAATTCCTTGTCTCGAGCGTAAACTCTACTGTAGTATTGGACCCATAGATGTCACGCTATATGCGCCTAGTGAAATCTAGCAAGGTCTTCGTACAGCTTCCCGTCTATATTAACTTCTAACGACGACATCTCAAAGATAACAAGCCATTGACAAGGGTCTTCGAAACTGATGTCGTCATCCCTATAGCCTTCATTCATTCACTAACGCTCGATCAGATTCATGCAACAGCAACACTGACAAGTCAAAGGAGCTGAGTCAGCAATGCACTTCTTACAATAGAATCTCATCGTGATAACTCTGCGTGAGAGTCTTGTGTGGCAGAACAATACAATTGCGGATAATGACCTCTGGGTTTGCAACGACAGATACACCGAAGATTGTAACGTCGCGTACGAGCGCTGTCTCCGCCGAATGTACCTGGATCTGGGAAGCGTTAGGTGGCTGACCTTCGACTCGGGCCCACTGGCCAATAATGGAGTTCCACCCGATGACAGAAAAGAGCACACAGGCGTGATCCTTTATGGTCACGCCCTCAAGAATGATCGAGTGGGCAACTCGAACTCCAGGTCCAATGGTCACGCCTGCGGCAATCGTCACGTTTGGGCCCAGCTTTGCCGTCGGGTGTACGCTCGCTGTGGAATCCACTACTACATTTCCTTCAATAATCGGCGATAGCTTTCCACCCGTTGCGCTAAGAGCGCTCGGGTTTGTAAACCGAAACCGCTGCATGTAAAGCTCCGAGCACGTGATAGCCATTCCAGGTGTCTTAATCTGACACCAAAAGTCGCCGAGTTCATGCAGGTAAAGACAGTGTTGGTCAGCAAGAGGCAGCAAAACATCTTGCTCCAGTCTACCGTGCCACAAAAACACACAAATCAGGATTAGTCTTCTCATCTGTGTACCTCAAGACACCGTACAATTCACGCACCGGAGGTTATCGAGTTTACTAAACTCGGGAAAAAGTTTCTTAAGGTCATGCTGTGTATTAGCTTCTGAATTGGACTCGCTGCGCAATCGTTGTCGACTGATCTTGTCCCCCACATTGACGATTGTGTCCATAAGCGACACATCAAAGAGGTAGACACCACAATTGATAATGTCACTAACAAACGTCTCGGGCTTTTCTGCCCAATGAAGAATCTCTTTGGTCACCGGGTCAGCCACAAGACAGCCATATTTCTTGGCTTCATCATGAAACACTCGTTTGCCAAGTACTGTGCACGTTCCCTTGTGCTTCAAATGAAAGTGCATCATCTCATTCAGAGGAAAAGAGCAACACACGTCACAGTGTAACACGAAAAGACTAGTGGGGTTTCCATCTAAAATCTCATCTCGAAAGAAGCGAATACCTCCAGCTGTACCCAGTGCTTTTTCTTCTCGTAGATACCGAATCTGTACATTAAAACGACGCCAGATCGAGTCAAAGAAACGGGAAAAAAGTCCTTCATCATATGATCCAATCATTAGAATTTCTTGCAGATTCGGGACACGAGCACATGCTTCGACGTGAAAATAAAGCATTTCTCGACCAGCCAAGAGAAAAAGCGGTTTCGGCAGATCCAAAGACAATGGACGAAAGTGATTACCCTGTTGATTCGGACCACCAATGAGAATAATAGCTTTCGATGGCAAGAAGGACGTACTCATGTTATCACTAAACGTAGTAATTATACCTGACAATAACATACGTCTCGAGTGAATAGCGGATCTCGTTTCACTAGAATAAAACCAATGGCTATCTTTGTTGTAATTTACAAACTCTAATCATCGAGATATGGAAATACACTAAACTTGGTGCTTAGTTTTGCAGAAAAAAAAACACTTTTTTTGATATCGATATTCTCTATTTTGTACGAGTTACGGTACTCTATTTTGTCACTTGTCATTTCGTCATGCAGTTCACAGAGCTAAGTGAGCTTAATCATGTAGTAGGACTTATGCGTTTAGCAGCGTGTAATAGTCCGACATTTCATGATCGACAGGATTCAGAAGTCGATCGTATTTATAATTCATCACCTAAAATGGAGACACAACCACGTAATTCGTGGATTGATAAGATGACGGCTTTTAAACCATTGACATCCACTTCGACGTCATCTGGTGGTAAAAAGACACCAAAAGGTCTACGAACAGGCAGTAATTCGAGTATCTTAAAGGTTAATAATAACAAAGTAGGAGACGAGACAGTTGTCAAAATGAGAGACGGGAGAGAGAAGAACGTCGCGTCTAGTAACGTATCAAGACGACGGGTTTCTACACAATCAGGACGTGTAGAGAAGAAGAATACTACCGGCTCAAGTGTCAAGAATGGAAACAAGGACGAGACAAGCAATACAATGTCAAGTGATAACAAACACACCGATGGGTTTACTTTTGAAAAGGAAGAAGTACTGCCCGTTTCATTCCATGAGTCCTCATTACTGGACAAAGCTCTGAAAGGTCCGTCATTGACGGCCATGGGAGCGAGACCACCTATGATGGGAGCAGATGGAAGTGCTGTATTACATTTGACAATTTACTTGCCAACGAGAGACGAGATGAAGATTGATGTAGGGGTGGTTCATGCTGCTGCTGCTGCTAGTTGAGAACGATGGTAGTGACTTGATTTGATTTGGTTTTTTTGTACAACTAGTTGTACGACGTGTCGACGGTGGATGAAGCTATTCAGGAGTTATTGCGTGTGCATCAGGCAGATACCCGGCAACCGGTGCTATACTATGGTCATCCGGAGTGTTACGAGCTTCGACTACATGACTCTGACGGTATTCCAGATGAAGACTTCCCAGGTTTGTTGCGTGGTTTGGGGATGATGATGGCATACGTTTAACGTACTGACGAGTCTTGTTGAATGATGATAGCTCTTGATCGCTCCCGAAAGATTAAGAATTTTGGGGATGCGGGAGGCCATGAGTATTGTTTGTGCGAGCGGCCTGATGCATGCCCGCCAACGGGCGATGCAACTCCCGGTAGGTCGAAGTTTTTTTTTTGTTTCATGCTACAAGATCAGTCTATTTATGGAACATTGGAATGCTGTATTCTGTAGATGTCGGTGCACCTGTTGCTGTGGCAAAGCCGAGTGCTGCTGCTGCTAAGGCCCCCTTGCCCAATGACAAGTCTTTCCTTAAGATCTTCATGTGCGAACTGACACTGCGTTTCTTAATGCCGTGAGAACTCTTTGCTGATATCGTTATCACTTTCCATTTATGTGGAATCTTATAGGCCAAGGAGTGACGACTACACAGTGGTGGCTATTGATGGCACGACGGTGGGCCAAGATCTACTGCCAACTCTGAACAAGAAGCATCGACTCCAGCTCTTTCAGGAGCTTTACGTGCTTAAGATTAGCGAAAGTGACCGCGAACGTTTGGATTTTGCTAGCGATGAGATCGATATGCATACCAAGTTGCGGCCACTGAATCTGCACGAAGTTACCCTTGCCACGAGTAAGTTGTTGTTGTTTACTTTGCTGTCCTGGTGCTGAAGACTGATTTTAAACATCCTGCTTCTTTAGAAATCTTTGCCGATGCGCCACAGATTAGTGCTCCGGCTCCGTCAGCCGTGGAGGATACTGCAAATGTTGACAGCCGTTCCCGCCCGCCTCCCGAGACTTTCATGTTCAATGATGTTACAGCTGCAATGTTTAAGGAATGGCACATTATCAAGAAGAACAAGTATGGTAAAAAGCAGCAGCGTATGCTGGGTATCGACCTCAACAAGATCTATAACCGTAAAGTAGGCGAGCGCGTCATCACATCGGGCAAGTCCACCAAGATTGTACGTGCTACCTATGCATTTGCCAAACTCGGGTTAAATTCTTATGTGCATTACTTCTTACGTTTGCATTACAGGCGGAGAGGCCAATGTCAGGCGTCGTATGGGTGCGTTTCAACCAAGATCCGTCCGAGTTTCAGATCTACTTCAAAGACAGCATCGAAGAGATCATTACAGACTACACGGCGAACTCGCCGTATGAGTGCGGTATGTGGTGCACGAAATTATCGTTGACGATTGCTTCTGAACACGGATTAACTGGACATCTTGGTCGTGTGTCGTTATTTTGTAGCTGAAATTGTCGCCAAGCTCAAGTACATTCTATCGCGTAGGAAATGAGTTAGGTCAATGCTTTAGCAAACCTCTTCGTCTCTTTCTTTTAGCTGCATTGTCGTGACTTCATTGCAACAAGCGCGATTGTTTTGCTTTGCCACGTGAGCATCGTTAACAATGTCAACAGAACAAGTAAAGTCAAATATGGCGCGCGTCTCAATTTTATTCCCCATGTTTGTTTATTCCATCCGCAGTGGTAAGCAGTAGCAGCTAGTAAAACTGCTGCGACGACTGCTTCAGCCGCCCTACCGAGAAAACAGTCGACAATACCCACGTCCAGAAGACACAAGACAGAGAAAGCCTGGTTTCCGTGTGTTTGCAGCTAGGCCACTTACACCTTGAAGCCACGCGATTTCCTGCGTCCACGAGCACGCTCGAACTTGCGGCCTTTGCTGCGAACATACGGCTTGACATGGTCGTGCGTGTGGACCGACTCAAGCGTCGACTTGTGGCCAAAATGAGCGTACACTCCACGGGCCTTACGAGCACCACGCAGCAGCACCGTGTTGGTACCCTTGGGAGAGCGCAGAGCCAGCTGGTCAAAGCTCAGGCACTCACCGCCAGCCTTGACAATCCGAGCACGAGCCGTCTCAGTGAAGTTAAGAGCCACAACAGTGAGCTTCGGGACAGTCAGGAGACGAATGTCGTCCGTCACAGTAGCCACGACAACCGCAATCTTGCCCTCGTGTTTTTTCATGAAACGAGCGACTTTGCCAAGAGACAAAGGAGCTTGATTCGTGTTGCTCTGATAGAGACGACGAAGTACAATGTCATTAAACTTGGCGTCCGTACGACGAGCCAAGAAACGGTACAAACGAACCAAAAGGTTCAAGTACACATTTTCCGATTTCGGACTTGTACGGTTTTTCTTGCCAACGACTTTGCCACCAGCGATAAGGTCGATACCCTATAAGCAGACATTAAAATAAAGTAGCTCTATTAGTATCACAAGAGGACAGGGAGCTATTAACCCCATTGTATAATGCAAGTGGGAATGCAAAATGGATTGTAAACTATCGTCTGTCAAGCTAGGAATCTGTTCCTCTCAAAGAATGAATCTGTCTATCTGTCAAGAGGAAGTAAACCTCCTGTGAGCCTGCTTTTATCTCTTTATCACTTTATTGTTCTCCATGAGCCATTGATCCAATGGAAAGACAGACAGACAGACAGACAGACAGACAGACAGACAGACAGACAGACAGACAGACAGATGCATTTTCAGCTGATCAAAAGGATTCCAAGTGAGCTTATTGTAGCTCCTCAGCTCCTCAATGACAAAAGTTGATCCTTTACAATTCCATCTCTTTGCACACTATTGTAGCTACAAGTTCTTCATTCATTCAATAACTAAGAAGAAAAAAGATCAACGTACCATATTGCTAGTCTTAAAATTGAAACTTGATGAAGACGGCGCCGCAAAAAGACTGTCTTAGCAAGTGGTTCTCGCTGTGAGCGCTGGGAACCAACCACGAGCTGGCAAAAAGTTTAAGCGCTTAAAACATTTATCGTAAAGTTACTTCACGCAGTATCAAAAGTCATCTCAAGTGCGCTTGAAAACACACCCTTCCAGCCAATCGCTTGCTATCCAGGAATAGGGCTTTCCCGAATTGATGTGGACCACATGTCTTCATGGTGTACATGTGGTGTAAGCCTTGCATGGAGACGGAATTGATCTGCTGGTTGGCATCGCCCGGCGTCTTTTACATCACGTTTTTGCCCTGATACACGGCCCTATATCACGTAGTAAACAGTTTACGACCTTTTTCATTATACCACAAGCATGGATGCTTTTTTTCCCACGTACCCCTCGCGTACGTCAAATGTGATATTGTTTCGTAACTTTTGCGACTAATTTTCACAACTTATTGCAATATTTCTATGATAGACACAAGAAAGTGCCACTGCAAGATCTGTCGAATGAAGTGACCAAGAATATGGCCATGCTAGTTTCTTGTCAAGAGAATATTGACATTTCATTACTGCAGAAACGAATTTTAAACAGCGGTCATGCATTATGGAATCCTGCTAATCAAAAGGACAATGTAGCAATACGTCGTGCTGGTCACGATACTTGGGGTATTGATAAAATTGTATTTATTTTTGGGGACGACTATTTGAAGAACGTCTATACGTTTCCATGGTTTCACTTGTGGCAGAAGGAACTCGCGCCCATCTTTGAGCAGATTAACATGCCTGTAAATCGCGTCGTACGCTGTATTTTGGCCTCGATGCCGCCTGGAGCAGACATTCCTGTACATCACGATACTGGGTCCTGGGTGCACTTTACACATCGGATGCACATTCCCGTGTTCACGAGCCCCGACATTGACTTTATGGTGGGCCCTAACGATCAGAATATGCAGCGCTATGAGCTCAAGGAAGGCAATCTCTACGAGCTTAATAATAGCTGTCGCCACCGCGTCAAGAACAATTGGGATCAGCACCGTGTGCACATGATCTTTGACTATGTCGAAGAGGACTTCCAGCTGAACCGCATGGACCTCAAACCGGGTACAATTTTGTGGCAGACGCGTCGCTCGGTGGATCTTTCCACCGATTATGGCAAGCGTGTGCCACCGTCGTTTGTTGTAATTGGCGCGCAGAAGGCCGGTACAACGTCATTGTATGACTACATTTTGCAGCACGATCTCGTGTGGCCTGCTAAGCGTAAAGAGACCCACTATTTCGATTGGCGCTGGAATAAAGAGTTGCCGGACGCCTCGACGCCCGAGGGTGCTACGCAACATATTCGGTACTACGAGGACACCTTTTTAGAGAGAAAAATTCTGTACCGGTTCTCCTCGCTGATGTCAGGTGAGGCTACACCTAGCTATATGCTCGGAGGAACAGTAGTGATCAACCGTATGCAGCAGGTAATCCCGCATTGCCGCAAAATTCTGGCCATAATGCGTAACCCCGTGGAGCGCGCGTACTCGCACTATTCGATGACCGCCGATACCAAGGGCTCTGAGAAGCAGTTGCGCAACCGTGGTCATCATCACCTCAATGGACGCACGTTCGAACAGGTTGTTGACGACGAGATCGAGGAGCTCTCGAAACTTGGCGTGCACCCGAATATGGATTTTGAAGACTTTGATGACAAAGTGATGCGCAGACGTTTTGACTTCGACCACGGCGCGCATTCGTTTGTAACACGTGGACTGTACGCTCTGCAGCTGGCTGGCTGGATCGAGGCATACGGAAAGGAGAACGTGCTGCTGCTCACTCTCGACGACTTCAAAACTACCGAAAAACTCCATGTACGTTGACCGTTGGTAGTTTATTGCCATGCGGATATTAGTGTCACTCATAACGCTGTGACGTTTCAATTAGACCACCATGGACAAGGTGTTCGACTTTTTGGATTTGCCATACCATCGAATCCACGACATTTCAGCCAAGAATACGCGCAAGTACGACCCTATCAACGATGTTGTTCGTGCCAAGCTGACTGCTTTTTACGCGCCATATAACGAAAAGCTGTACGAGCTCATCGGCCGCGATATGGGCTGGTAGAATCACGTAGCGGAAGTTGATTATTATTGGTATGGTGTACTGCAGCAATACATCACGGTGTTCAGTCTAACGCTTTGACTTGATGACATACAGCATATGTGACATACAATCTCATCGTCCTACCAACCAAAAGCTTTGTTCATGTCTAATTAATGCATTGTTTAGTTGAGCGTATCCATGCCGGCACGAACGCCACCACGAGCAATAAGGTCAGCAATGTCCTCCTTGTTGGACAGCTGCGACGAGCGGACGTCCGCAATAAGACGCTGTACCTTCTTCTCCTGCTTGAGGTACTGCAGAGCCAAATTGCCCAGGTTGCCCTGTGGTAGAGCCTCCGTGAACTGTAGACCCTCACGATACACGATCTTGCTTGCCAGGCTCGATGCTACAATGGAGCGAGTGTACGCAAGTGGCACATTCTCGTGCACGCGGTGAAGCGCCAGCTCGCGGAGCTTAGGCGGCAGGTGCTCCTCGATGAGCGTAAACAGCATCTGCTGGTCTTCGTCGCACACATCGTCGAAGTGAGCAAGGACGGCGTCGTGCACGCGCGTGATGGCGCGACTAATGCGCTCACTGGCAGGCGGCAAGGCAGACGACGGATCCTTCTTGTACTCACGGAAGAGCAGCTGGGCCTCGACACGAGCCAATGCACGCAGCTTGTCGACCACTTCCATGACCAACTCGTCCTTGACAGCCAAGAACTCGTCAGTGTCCAGCAGCATGCTAGCCACAATCTCGTACGAAGAGCATACCACACCGCATTTATTGGCCGAACTATCTTTGACAATCACGACACCGGCGTTATCAAACAGAAGCTGACGCGCCTCGGGCGTGACGAACAAGTTGGCACCCTCCACGATCAGACCCGCCGACGGCTTTCCGTCCGCATCAAGATACTCCTGCCAGTTGTTCTCGTTAATCGTGTTAGGACGGCCACCAGCGGGGATGAACAGGTCGCTCTTCACGCGGTTGTGCATCGAGTTACGAGCACGGGCACCTTCAGCCGTATTGATGTCGTGCTTCACGCCAGTGGCACACGCCACCTTCAACTCGTCAAAACTTGACAAAGGCAGCGACTCGTTTACAAGACGCAGCAGCTCGTCCATATCAATGCCCTGAGGGTCCTCGACAACACCCGTGCCGTCGCAAATGCCGACGATACGCACATTGTTGCCGTACTCACGGTGCAGGATTTTGATGACGTTACCGGCCACATCGCCATCGGTGCCACCGGTGATCTTTACAGTAAAAGGCTGCTTGGTCGGATCAATGTTCTGCGAGCGCAGAGCAACATCAGCGAAGACGGCTACACCCTCACTGGTAACACCGTACACCTTGTGGTTGAAGCCAGCGTCAGGCTTGGAGCTGATGAAGGCGCGCGGGACCGGGTAACCGCGATAACCAGCACGGTTCGTCATCCATACAATGTCCTCCGGGATGATGTTTTCATCTGGACCTAAATAAATGAGCTCGTCCTTACCATAGTAGTCAACAATCTTCTCCTTCACAGCCTCGTCCGTCGTATTCAGGTCGAGCAGGGCATCCGAGAACGCCTTAACACTCTTGCGGATAATGAAGTCACGCGGAGCAATGTCGCCGACAGGTCCAACGATAGGGTCGCAGAGCACGACAGCCTTGGAGCCACCCTCCGGGATGTCCTTGTTCTTGAGCTGCTGAGCGAAGGCAAGGTTGTAGGCCTCGTTGTACTGACGAGCACTCTCGAGCGCGTGGGCGTCGGTGGAGCTGGGGTACACCATGCGAAGACCACCACGAGCAATGTCGCGGAACCGCACGTGGAAGCCCTTGAAACGACGGCCGTAGATGAAAAAGACACCGAACGGCGTGTCCTTGCCTACCGTACCGTAACCCATGACCTTAGGGTCCATACGGAGGGACAGAGCGTAGCGCTCACGCACAAACTTGTTGGTGCGCAGCGTACCACGGACGGCATCCGCCATGCTGTTCAGCAGCGCGATAGCTTCCTCTTGCTCAACGTTGCGGCGAATGTCCGCCTTCATCTCATCAACGATAGCATCTTGCTCAACGTCCGTGAGCTTCTCCTGCTGCGGGTCGAACTTCCTCAGGAAAAAGTCCGAAATACGCGAAGCGAAGGGTAGGTGCTGCTCGTGCTCCAACGTCTCCATGATGCGCGCGAGCGAGTACGCAAACGGGTCCTTTTTTGCCAGGACACCGTGCAACATATTGCCGTAGGCATAGATGAGCTCGGCACGCGAGATACCAAGGTCGGGGTGTTGCAGCGTGAGGTGAACAGATCGGTCATCGACCCATTTGAGAAACTTGAGGTTGCCCGAAATCTTGAACCACTCGAACTCGAAGTTATCTTTCAGAGCCTTCTTGCTGGGTTGCACCAGGATACGAACCATGGCCACGTGACCGTCACCGTTGTTGCTCTCCGGATCCTTGGTCACATCCAGATGTGCGCGAACCACATTGAGGTTGCACAGACCAAGGTACGTGGCGGCCTTTTGCATGAAACTCTTGGGGATGACGTTCGAAGCCGCAATGGTCAGCATAGTCTGCTGGGCACCGCTCGAGACAAACTTGTTCTCTTCGCTACGGGTCTCCCACTTGTGTTCAACGTCCACGGCAACACTTTCGGTGCCACGCACGCGCTGAAACAGCTCAAGCTGCTTGGCGAGACGGCGTGGGTGGCTGAACTGCACGTACATAGTATTGCTATTGTTGAGGTAGGCATCAACAACCTCCGGCTCAAAGTGAGGGCCCGCCAATGGGTAGCTGGCGTCACCGGCGTATTTGCCGGCCTGGATATCGGCGCAAAACTGCTGAATCTTGGCACGGGCCTGCTTCTCACCATCGGTCTTGTTTAAAAAGGGCTCTTGCTGTCCGTAGCGGAAGATGTCGAGGCCGAGCGAGTCGTCCAGAGCAGTGAAGATCTTGACACGGGCAAGCGGGGCGCCATCCACCGTCTGAGGAAGTTGCTCAAGCACGTTGGCCAGGCGTCCGGGGAAGTTGGCACCCGAGCGAAAGTGCGAAAAGATCTTTTCGTCCGGTGAGCGCAGCATTACTTCCGGCTGCTCCGCGCCCATGAGCGCTGTAATAGCGTTGAGGTGTTGCAAGCGGTCCTCTTCGTGGATGGAGCGAAAGTACGATGGTGGCATGTTTTCGAGGAACCAGGGCACCGTATTGCCAGCCGCGTCCTTCTGAAACTTGTCGAGTGCACGCAGCATCTGTTGCTCACTGACCTCCACACTTGCGTCGCCCTGCGACGAAAAAGCACGAGCCAGCGTCCTCGGTAGAGGGTGCGTAGAAATGGTCGACGGTGCGCGGCGCAGTGCTCGGAACTGGGAGGCTTGCATCATCTGAGCTTCTGCGTAGACTGGGGCTGGCACTTGTCACGAACGGAGCAGAATGAGGAATGACAAAGCTGGTTCGCAGCTCATGCGGCCTGAATGGTACCTTATACGCCCGAAGGCACGAATTTTTGGGTCGTCAAAGTTTGATCCCTGCTACGCACGTCCACATAAGTGCAAGTTCGCTGGTCTCCGGCAAATCCTGTGGCACCTGTGGGATGCACCACCCAGAGACGAGGCCGCCTGCACCGGAACACGAAAGTCGTGCAACACATCAAGCGATTTGTCTTCGTTCTCGTCTAGTTACCCGTTCTTCGATGTTTGATTTTCGCGTGCTGGAACATGATCGACGCGTGACGATGGTGGAGCTCGTCTTGAAGGCCCCACTTGAGGTCTGAATGTGACGTCGCTAAGCTGGACTTGCTTATCGCAACGCGGAACACAAGCCATCTGCCAGCTTCATCTCACAATCCCGTCGGCATGCTTAACAAGCGCGGCGCAGATTGAGCAAAGCTTGAACCTGAGCACGCTTCAACCACGTGTCGGGCATTTCCAGTGCACCCGTTGGCTATGCGTCCATTTGTCACAAAAACGATGGGGAGGGCAGGGCATTCATAGTAGATGAGGCAACGAATGACGTCTTGGCATTACAATCTTACGGCAAAACTACGTCAGTTGCGAGCTCGGTAGACCAGTCTTTTTGCGTTGTGGTAACTGCAACTGCATCAAAGCATCAGGTCTGAAGAAGTCAACGTGTTGAAGCTTCCGACAGGAGTTATAGGCGCCGCATCAAATCAAACGACTGCCTCCCAAACGACAATGTGATGCAGTGTAACGAGATGTAGCATGACCACGGAGTGGGGCTCTATTCAAATTAAAAGCACTTGTCGTCGTCAGACCCAAGTGCAAGCTTAACAAGCTGAACAACGAGCGATCAGCAAATACTGAAGTGACAGAAAACTGCGTCTACTGCCACGTCTCATGGCGCGCAGTACGATTGACATGGACAAGAATTTTACCTCGACATAGACGGAGTGGACTCTTTGAGATAGTGCTACAGAGCTCTCCGGCTTGAACTACATGAACGACCAATCGGCCGCAATCAACAAGACTAGACGCATTCGGCTTGAACGAGTCCTTACATACAGTAAATTAGTCCATTATGTATTATGTTTTGTTGGGTAGCGTGTGAAAAATCTTCGGACGCCTTGAACGCGCAGCGTCCATGAGGTGACGAGGCAGAGTAAAAAAATGAATGTTCGGCCTTCATGTTGGGAAAAAGAGACTGTCTTTTACCGTTATGACTGCTGAAAAGTCTGCAGCCATTGAAGTACCCCAGGAGGTGTCTTCTGTCGGTTACGAGGGCTGTGCAGTGCCTGCCGCTGGTTGGTGATGATGTCTTGGAACATTTTCGTTGCATAAAACTGAGGTAGACGCCATTGCTTACATCTTTATCTCTCCGTTGTTCCTTGATAACGACCGCTTGGAGTTGGCGAAGAAGGATTTGTTTAACTTCCGCTACCTCTTGCTTTGTGGACGCACTTTCCTGCTTATAGATACTCCTATTCCGCCAGATCAATAATGTGGTCCCGCAGATAAAGCAAACTATCCACCATAATCTTCAGCCAGCAATGTCAGCGGTGTCTGGAAACATGCTGCTCGATATCCGTTCGCAATCTCGGAGGTAGCTTCGGTGCGTTTGTTTGTACATGAGCATTCGAACAAAAGATACCTCCGAGTGCGTCCACTGCGTGATAGTGTGTGCCCAAGACTTGGTCGCTCCTACGCAGTCCTAGAGAATATGTAGGAGTCCTTCATGTTGCCCGGGCGCAGGCAGATTCCTCTTGCACGTCGAGTCCATGTCGCATCCCGGGAAGTACATATATAACTGATGAGTAGCTACTCTGTAGCATACCCAGACCTGATATTCCGTAAGAGTGTGTCCGTGTTCCCTGAGATGTGCCGGTGACTACGGCCTTAAAAAGTGGGCGCCGTCCTGTGAGCCGTTTCGGTGTTGTAGCCTGGTGATTACCGCCGTAAGTGCTGGATGTAGCTTTCATTTGGCGCGATGAAATGGGTGACGTTGTAGCGCCTTGAAAGCGTGCATGTTGTTGATGGAGGGTGGGAGGCTCCATGGGAACCTATGTAGCTGCGGATGCGCTGTGAATACAAGCGCCGTGTTCCGTGTTACATTCACCAGTTCCGTTGATCAGTTTCGGGCTAAGCTCCTGTTGATCACTTTCGGGCATATTAGTCATGTGATCAATGATCCAATGAACTTCACCATTGGCTTGATGGAGGACGATAAGGGCGAGGTAGCCGCCGGCTTTGTTTGTTGGCGTCCGTGTGTAACTCCCTGGCTGACAAAAGTCCACGCGTACTAATTCAATCACCTCAAGTTCGTTCCGTAGCGTTAGCTAAGCCGCCAGTATTTGCATACCTTCTGCTTCGTGCAGATAAGGACTTGCCATCAGTATGGCTGTTGCCCAGTATAGGTATCGTGCGATAAGTATTTAGCCCCCTTTTGTGGGATCCGAATAAGATAATCTAGTGTTAAAATTTGCCGAATGTGTAATTCAGCAAGCGTGCAGGCGTGTAGCAGTAAACACTTCTATGTTAATAGTATAATCTACTTGTCATTCACGATCCAACATTTTGATCCCACACGTAAGTCGCTTAAGAATTCTTGAGTTTCTGGGTGTACAAGTGTGTAAGAGAGTCGGGATGTCTTTATAATATTGGCAAAGTAAGTCGGACCAGGATCCGACCTATTGGCTAAGAGGTCTGTCATTAGGCAACTTAGACATCCTTTACGGTGCTGTTTGATAATCGTCCATTCTTCTTACCTCAGTGTAATCCACTTGATGACTTCCGCTCTAATTTCCGGGTGTGGCGTGCTGTGTCTTCAAGAAAATTAGTAGAATTATAATGTTAAATATTGAATGTAAAAGCTTCTATATGTAACACTAAAGTTAGTATAAATAGATTACTATAATGATCTATATATATGTATGATTTATTATATTTTCCGTAATTTAAACTTTTATTTCTACATTATTGATTGCTATAATTAAATTCAAATTTGTTTTATACATGTAGGTCCTGCAGTTCTACGTAGAATTGTATTCTCAAAATTGTATGATGAGACCCCAAACCACTCACTGTGTCGGACTGCCGACTGTTGGAGGGTGTGCCCCAATGCCACGTATGGACCTTCTCACCTTGTGTACCCATCGGCTGGCGGGTTGCACTCTTCGGAAGACTTGGTGAGGATGTAGACGTCTGCCTTGAGGTGGGGGCCTCGAGTGGATATGCTTCACTCGGTGGGCCGATAGGTGGCCACTCGATCGACCTTGTCGAAAGTGGACTTAGAGACGAATTCTTGAGAGAGCTTGTCGTCCCTTGCCTTTTCCTTCTTGTTTCAGGGGTATCAACCACCTGACCTTTACTTTGCTCCCGGACCGTGAGGTAAGGAAGGCCGCTTCCGATAGGTGTTGCTACTCGAACGAGGTCAGAGGCCAAATATATCCTGGAGCTCTTTTTGCACTTAACTTTGCTACACAACTGTCTTCGACGGGAGGCCAAAATATATCCCTTCCCGGAACAGTGAGTAACTTAGAGCAAGTTTTTCTTGGGTGACGGAATCGTGCCACGTAGATCGCAAATTGAGTAGTATTCAATTTATCCCTATCCTGTTAACTCCTTTACTCTATCCTTGCATGAAGCTCTGATTCCTTGCGTCGACTGGTCTGGTCCTTATGTTAACTGGTCAGAAAAGTGGTTGAACCTTGAAGGACCCAGACCGATTAATGAGGGACCCAGGTCTACCGACGAAAGGCCGGTGCCTACCGATTAGGGAACAGGACTTTTCATGTTGGACCAGGTCGGCTTCTTTCGGTACCCTTTTATTGGTACTTCAATACTGATCTCTCCGTTGATGGTCCTTCAAATCGTTCCCCGACAACGTCGCTTACCCTTTTGGTCCCCTTTCTTTCCGATTCTTTACCTGGTGAGCAGTCCTAGGGTCCTTCCATCCAGCTGGACCATGAGTTATTCACATTTTCGAAAAGCACTTCGCCATAGAGTAGTTGATGCTTGCATTGTGAAGACGCACACTTCAAAAAAAGCTGCCACGTGCTACGTGGGCACACACCTTCGAGCGGCATGAGGAAGCGATTAAAAAGCCTTACCTCCGCGTGCGGTGGTGGTGTTGTTTGTTGATTTGAAATGGCCTGTGCACGTGAAAAAAGATTTAAGAGTAACTAAAGTATATATTTCTGTTTACAGCAACTCGCATTTGATCTTACTTCGTGTAAGTTTCACACGACTGTTGTCTATAAACACCCGGCGGTATTACTGCTCACGCGACTGCTCCCAGAAATCGGCCAGATCCGCGACTATTGACCACTCTTTCCCGACTCATGGGAGGAGAGTCAGACTACAGAAGTATGTACTTACTTGAGTCCCACCTCCAGCGCCCGTGAAGTCGCATAACACGCGACCTCACGAAGCTTGACTTGACAACTTCTTTCGTAGCATAATCTTACAGAAAATTGAGCTTCCCGTCCACATATTTTGCACTTGCCGAGCTAATCTCATTTTTAACCTTTTTAATAGCAGCTTGGTTTTCCATAGCTAGCACAATCGGCGTCTTCACTTGCAATTTTAGCTCAGAGAATCGTTTCTTTAGACCAAGCGCCTCTTGCCATTCTGCAGCTGCAGCGACGAGCTCTGCCTCCGCAGTCGAGACTGCAACCGCCAACTGTTTTTTTCAGTGCGATCCGACAGTCGCACCATTAACCATGATGACTGCCTCGCTCACACACTTACGATCCTTACGATCTCCAGAACAGTCTGTGTCCGTGAAGAAGATGATGCGGACTAAATTCATGATTCCTTCAGCCACGCGTATGTGCAACTTGAAGGATCAAGTGCCAATTGGGTACCAATCAATCCGTTTAGCGAATTTACAGTCTTGTATCGTCGGTTAATGGCATTGTCGTGTTGCT